TTAAATATCATGCAACCTTTTGTAAGACATCAAAGGTTTTTTAATCATTTTTTACTTATAAATTTTGAAAACTACATTTTTAAATAAACTAAAAGTTTAATTGCTTTGCAACTGAATTTAATTATTACGCTGGAAAAAAAGAACAGTCTAATTTAATTTCTAAGCAATGATTCATCGGATCGGAACAAATTTTAGACTAAAAATCAAAATTCTAAAATTTCAGTTTTTATCAGGCGATGAAAAATTTTTAATTCTATCTATTTGTATATGATTGTTTTATAGTTACTTTTCTATGAATTAAAAAAAAAAGGACGATCGCAATTTTTCGCTTGAAAATAAAAATTTTAAATACTGCTTCGTGTCTTTGTTTTTAAAATCGAGAAAGTGTGTATGTAAACAAAAATGGGAAAATAATTAAATAAATGGAAAAATTGAGCCGATTACAGCCGCAGTTTTCCAGTTCACTGAGTCATAGGATTTATGGTTAAAAAAATAGAGTCACTATATACGGAAACTAATTGAGGCGTTAAATTCGAGAATGAAAAAAGTTTAAAATTATAAGGTTTTGTTCATCTCCAATTCCACATGACTTGAGTTATTACGAATATTAAATCATTAGTAAACCGAAGATAATGTATTTAAAAAACATATTAAAACGATTCACTTAATTAAAACTGAATGGAAATTAAAATGGATACTTTAAAAGGTATTTTTTTTTTTTACAAAAATAAGCTGACTAAAATATGAAAAGTTTATCATCATCATAATTATTACTTTTTCTTAATCTTTTCAGTTTTCTATGACGAAACTAATTAGAGATCGTATAGTTTCCATTTTTTTCTTCAACTTTTTTTTTCATTAAATAAATTTAATATATTTTCTTTTTATTTAAAATTTGAAAACATTTCTTTTACTTTAAGTTTTAGATTTTTTAAATAAGTTTTTTTTTAATAAATCCTTTTTCGAAATCTTTTGTGCGGAATTTTAATTCGGAAAGGATTTATAGATTTTTAATTTAATTATAAGAAATTTTTTATTACATTATTACCCATTAACACCAGACAGATTTTTTCCTTTTTTGGGACCACATTTCTGTCTGTTTTTTTAAATTTTGAAAAATTCGAGCACGGTAAATTTAAAGAACTAAGGATTTTTAAGGTAAGGGTTGTTTCAAGTATATTTAAATAATTATTAATTTGTTCTGTGTTTGCAACATTTGTTAAATAAAAAAAATTTTTATAAAAAGAAATCAGGAAATAGGTGTTTTTATTACTGCAGCAAATTAATTGAATTATTTAATAAAATCTTATTTGATTTTTGTCTACTTTAAAAACTAGTTAAATGTTTTTTTAACAAAAAGTTTACTTATCAATAGAGCGAAAACTTCTTTAATATTGCTTTAGAATTTTAAATAATTATTTTGCATTCATTATTTTAATTGCATGCGTTAACTGATCATAGTGTTATAAAAGGTAGCTTATCAAAAAATAATATATCTTATTAAAAGCTAATACTATTTTTTATCGTTTAATAGCTGTAAAACGCTAGTTAAATCTTACAAAGTTATGTAATATTTCATGAATTCTTATAACATAAAATGAATGAAACTTTGAGATTAATTCTGTAACTTTGAATAATAATCAAAATCATAATTGCAATAATGCCAGAGAATAATAGCAAGAAGGTATAATGAATATATATTACAGATAAAAGCATTAAACAAAGTGGAATGCCATCAAATAATTGTAAATTTCCATTTCAATTTCAGATTTTAAAAAAATATCCTTGCTTACACACTTAAGTAATTTTTTAAAATTACTTAATAAAATAAGAGAATTCCAGCTATTATTATTTTTCTGCGTCTGAACTTTTTATGAGGCCATGGGACTGTACACTGCCTACGTCTTCATTAACTTTCAAATGACGAGGAGACCATTTTCTTACCTATGGTTATCGCCACGAAAACCATTTCTCGCCTATGGTTTGCGCGGCTATCTGCTCGCAATAAATAATTTCAGAGAGAAAGGAAGAGAAAAATTAGCAAAGAGTGCTTTATTTACATAAATTTGGGTAACAGTAAAGGTTGGCGAGGGGTGAAGAAGAGACGCTAACACAGAGAGTAATTTTTAAATTTTTTTTTTTTAATGTATTATACGTTTGTTGAGTTGATCATTTTTCACAGAATTCATTAGTAGTTATAAACAAAGAATTTATAAATTCGATTATTTAAACAGCAAGAGATTTAAATTTATTGCCAATTAATACAGTTAGTAAAATGTTAAAACTTCCCCTGTCGTTTTTTGGTTTTAAAAATCAATTTAATTTTAATTAAAAAAATTAAGGGAATTTCTTTTCATAAATTAATTATAATCCAAAATTTTTTTTAAATGAAACATTACTGGGAAAAAAAGACACCTTAAACATAACTTCTAATTACGGACGAAGAGATGAAACTTCTAAGTTATATTATAAAAAGAAAAAATTGTGATAAAATATTTTAACATAACGATACTAGAGAAAAATGACACATAAAGAGTTTATATAAATTCCAATTACGGACGCACAGATGAAACTCCTTATCAGAGCAAAAAATCAGTGATGAAATATTTTAACATAAAGTTACTAGAGAAAAATGACACATAAAGAGTTTCTATAAATTCCAATTACGGACGCACAGATGAAACTCCTTATCAGAGCAAAAAATCAGTGTTGAAATATTTTAACATAACGTTACTAGAAAAAATGACACATAAAGAGTTTATACAAATTCCAATTACGGACGCACAGATGAAACTCCTTATCAGAGCAAAAAATCAGTGATGGAATATTTTAACATAACGTTACTAGAGAAAAATGACGCATAAAGAGTTTACATAAATTTCAATTATGGACGCAGAAATAAAAGTCCTTAGTTATAATATCAGAACAAAAAATCAGTGATGAAATATTTTAACATAACGTTATTACATATGAATGACACATAAAGGGTTTATATAAATTCCAATTATGGACTCAGAGATGAACTTCTTAATTATTCGAAGAAAAATAAGTGATAAAATATTTTATCTTAAAGTTGCAGCAAAAGAATGACATGTAAAGGGTTTATGTAAATTCTAATTACGAACGCAAAGATGATACTCCTTTATGAGAAAAAAGCTTGTAAAATATTTAAACATGACATTAAGACGCAGTAATAATTTATTTGACGCGTACAATATTTAAACATAGCGGACGCAGAGATGAAACTCCTTAGTTATATTATCAAAACGAAAATTCAGTGATGAAATATTTTAACATAACGTTATTACATATGAATGACACATAAATGGTTTATATAAATTTCAATTATGGACGCAGAGATGAACTTCTTAATTATGAGAAGAAAAGTAAGTGTTAAAATATTTTGACTTAACGTTGCTACAAACGAATGACACGTAAAGGGTTTATATAAATTCTAATTATGGACGCAGAAATGAAACTCCCTTATGAGAAAAGAAATAAGTGTGCAAAATATTTAAACATTACATTAAGAGGAAAAAATAGCATATAAAGGATTTATATAAAACTCCAATTACGAAAGCAGAGACGAAACTCCTTAGTTATATTATTAAAACAAAAAATCAGTAATGAAATATTTTACCATAACGTTATTACATATGAATGACACATAAATGGTTTATATAAATTTCAATTATGGACGCAGAGATGAACTTCTTAATTATGAGAAGAAAAATGAGTGATAAAATATTTTAACTTAACGTTGCAACGAAAGAATGACATGTAAAGGGTTTATATAAATTCCAATTACGGACGTAGAGTTGAAATTCCTTTATAAGAAAAAAAGCGTGTAAAATATTTAAACATAACATTAAGAATCAGTAATAATTTATTTGACGTGTGAAATATTTAAGCATAACGGACACAGAGATGAAACTGCTTAGTTATATTATCAAAACAAAAAATCAGTGATGAAATATTTTAGTATGACGTTATTACATGTGAATGGCACATAAATGGTTTATATAAATTTCAATTATGGACGCAGAGATGAACTTCTTAATTATGAGAAGAAAAATAAGTGATGAAATATTTTAACTTAACGTTGCTACAAACGAATGACATGTAAAGGGTTTATGTAAATTCTAATTACGGACGCAAAGATGATACTCCTTTATGAGAAAAAAAAAGCGTGTAAAATATTTAAACATAGCATTAAGAAGCAGTAATAATTTATTTGACGTGTAAAATATTTAAACATAACGGAAGCAGAGATGAAACTCCCTAGTTATATTATCAAAACGAAAAATCAGTAATGAAATATTTTAACAAAACGTTATTACATATGAATGACACATAAATGGTTTATATAAATTTCAATCATGGACGCAGAGATGAACTTCTTGATTATGAGAAGAAATATAAGTGATAAAATATTTTGACTTAACGTTGCTACAAACGAATGACATGTAAAGGGTTTATATAAATTCCAATTATGGACACAAAGATGAACTTTTTAATTATGAGAGGAAAAATAAGTGATAAAATATTTTGACTTAGCGTTGCTACAAACGAATGACACGTAAAGGGTTTATATAAATTCCAATTATGGACGCAGAGATGGAACTCCTTTATGAGAAAAAAAAAGTGTGTAAAATATTTAAACATTACATTAGGAGGAAAAAATAGCATATAAAGGAGTTATATGAAACTCATAAAGGAGTTATGTGAAACTCCAATTATGGACGCAGAGATGGAACTCCTTTATGAGAAAAAAGAAGTGTGTAAAATATTTAAACATTACATTAAGAGGAAAAAATAGCATATAAAGGATTTATATAAAACTCCAATTACGAACGCAGAGATGAAACTCTATAGTTATAATATGAGAAGAAAAGTAGGAGATAATAAGATAATTCACAATTCCATTTTCAATTCCTTGGCGTCAAAGTCTTGGCGAACTTCTTGAGTCCCACTCTTCTCTTGGCAACCCCACATACAACTGAGAACCACGATTATTTCGGCATCTACCCGGTGTTTTCTTCCCGCCGGCACAGTTCAACAGATTCTTCTCCGTTTAGCGAAGGGACTTTTCTGTATGTTAACGGGGAGTTTTGTATTGTGCGGTGTGGTAGAAGTTATTCGGGGGTTTTGGAAATAAGAACCGTTTTTTTGTTGTTGTTGTTTGTGTACTCATTTTTTATTTATTTTTTTCTTGCGGGAAGTAGAAAAAAAAATATAAAAATAAAATAATCTGATAGAACAGGACTGGAAATTTTTTTGTAATTGACTTAGACCCCATCATACAACTTCTGATGGCGGTTTTGAAACTGTTATGGACTTTTTTGCTTTTGTGTTCTGTAGTGTATGGGAAATCAACTAGCTCAAATTCACAGGTAAATTTTATACGTTTTAATGCATAATAATATTATAAATGTATGAATTTTGTTCGGAAAATTATTAAGTTTTATGAAAGGTATCTAAGATTATTTTAATGAATCGGACAAATTGTTAAGTTTTTTTTTAACAATAAATTAACCGAAATCATATTATTTTAACATCCATTTAATTTTGAAACTATTATGGACTTTTTGTTTTTGTGTTCTGTAGTTTAAGGTAAATCGACCAGATTAGATTCAGGAATATAATTTTTTAATGCATTAGCTTTATTCAATTATAATACATAATATAATTAACTTTATTCTGAAAATAATAGATTTTGAAAAATTTTAAAAAATGTGAATGATGTTATAATTACTTAAACAAATGGTTAAACTTAATTTTGAAGTATTGTCCGAAATCGTATTAATTTTATTGTGAAAATGATGAAGTTCTACTTTCTAATACAGATTATTTGAAGAACCTGGAGCAGTATAGAGATAGGCTACATTTTCTCAAACTGTTTCTTAGTATTGTTTCCAAATAGACATTTTAGAAGTTTGCTGAAATTTCACTAAATAATAGCTAAAAACACAAAAGCATCTTATTCCTTATATGGAAAATCATGATATTTTTCACTAATAACGTTCTCTCAAATAATTTGTGGTGCTTATGATCATATTACCCTATCTCTATCTCTTTACATGCCAGTTTAGTGTTAAATTTTATTATAAATTTAAAATTTAATTTTAATGAAAATACAAAATTACACGCTAATTTTGTATGTGGTTTAAGTGTTATTAAGTTTTAAATGATGACATCTACTTTTTATTTTATAATTGGTATTTTAAACGCATGAAATAATATTCATGCTCTTAAGTAACTAGTTGTTGGTTGTTTGAAGTGTGAAAATTGTTTTTTAGAAAATATATTTTTTTAAACATTTGGAATTGTTTTGAAAAATAGAATTACTCCAATTTCAAAATCCAAATGATTTAATCGGAATTCTAATATCGTGATGTATCGTCGGGAAATATAAGCATCACCCGATGACAGGAGATGTAACATGTTAAAATATTTTTCGGAATTTTTTTCTTCCTTTTTTTGTACTCTTTCGCCTTCTCTTCAATACAGTGTTTAGTAACAGGTTCTTATTCGCGTAAAACCGGCGTTTCTGTCACGGCCATTCCATAATAAAAGGCTTTTTATTGCCACTTGATAAAGGACTTCTTTTAAAGAACAAAAAATAAAGTGTTATTCTTCTAATACAGTGATGCATTTTTATCAGCATGGTATTTTTTTTTTCCTTTAAGAAGAAGGCGCTGAATTCAGGCATTGGATGATTGCAATTCTGAATTTGTCAAAGATTGTGACTTTGAGATTTTAAATTGAACGAGCGAATGTTAAATTGGATTTGAATTGAATGTGTACTTTGACATCATGTATTTAAATGGTTTTAAAGTACGATAACTAGTTTAAAATAGTTATTCGGAAAATTGCCTTACTCGTATTTTTTTTCCTTGATCTTTAGTTAATCGATTTTAATTCAAACTACGTGTTTTTCTTCCTTTTTTTTCTGTTTTTCATTCTGGAGTTTTTGAGTGTAAACTTAATATTTTGTTATAATTTTATGAACTTCTTAAATGTAAATTTAAATGATCTTTTTGTGAAAATATAAAGGATGTTGAATGCTCACCGATTTACTATATATTTTTTATATTAAAGATCTGTTTATCGTTTTAGTCCTAAATTTATTTTTTTTATCTCTGGAAACTAAAATTCCTGATGCATTTTTGAGTAAATTTTGTTCATTAAAAAATTTAAGTTTGTGAAACAGCGTTCCAATTTTAGAATTGTTTGAAAGGAGGTTCTAAGAGGCAATTTAGATTAAAAGGATATTTCTCGAGAAAAGATCGTGTTTCTGTTTTATATAGTCAAGACTTTCAGTTTTATGCACCTTATAAGATAAAAACGAAACAAAAATCTTTGAAAGATTTAGGAGTGGAAAAAGTTACAATTGCATTTATCAAGATACAATACACGATTAACCTTAGAGAAGCAATTCCCTTGGTGGTCAATAGTACCAACCATGTGACGCGTATAATTGAAATAGTTAACAAGTATTGCTATATAGATAAAAAAAAAAAAAANAAAAAAAAAAAAAAAAAAAAAAAAAAAAAAAAAAAACAACCAGGCATGGGTTTTATTTTCTATCAGATCCTAAACTTTAAAGCTAATATACTGAAATCCACTGAATCTACTTAAAATTTTAATCCTTTAATTCTTATTTCTCCAGAGTAAACCAGTTTTTCCAACTGACAGCCTTTGTTTCTTAAATTAAGTAAAGAATCGATTATTTTGCAAAATTTTTAATAATTTTTCTGGAGGTGAATAATTGTAGTCCAAAAAATAATATTGTGCAATAATCATGAAACTCACAAAAATAAATATTATTTTTCTTTTAATAAAAACTGTATATTTTCAAAGGTTAATGTTTTAGTTTATCCTGCAGTCTTCAGCATTAACTACAGAGATTTTGCATAACCCTACGTTTTGCAATATCTTTAATGCTAACGCAATTTGAGCTTCATATCGTAAGCACAAAATTTTTCTACAAATCACTGAATCACTAAGGTCGAAAATAAGGCTAGTAGGTACAGTTTACATTAGACAAACGCCATGCAAAATCTCTCTAAGATGAAACAGATTCAGAAAAGAAACTTTATCTTGTGTTTGCTTTTAATTCCATTTTAGTTCTTTTTAAAAATATTTAAATATTCTCTAAACTAAGCTGAAATAAATTAGCCTATTAGAATGAATTTTCATTGCTTAGAATTTAAAAAAAAAAAGAAAAATCGTGGAAATGAAACCCTGGGACAGTATAAAAAAGGTCCCTGAACATGTTTAAATGAATGCCTTTAAACAGAGGTCGGTCGGGATAGCCTTGTTGGTAGGGCGCTGGATTCACGTTCATGTGAACGGGAGTTCTAATCCAGCTGGATGAAGACTCAACGTGTAGTAAATGGTGACTGCTGCACGTTAAATGTGTCGGGTCACAAAATTCTCCATGTTCCAATAACAAATTACACTTCTGGGGGTACTGGATTGGAGAGTGATCTTTCTCTGAATCAGGTAAAAATTACGATCTGTGGATGAATGAATGAATGGGTCCACCCTATAAACGGGTGTAACGTATGGGTGTGGCATAAATCGAATTCTTGACTATAGATGACGCCACTGGAAAACAAGAACAATCGCACCCTGAATGCCTTGTTGGTCTACGACAACAGCAACAAAACAGAGGAACCAAATTTTTTTTCGATTATGGAACCCTAAATGATCAACATTCATTCGACGGAACCCCGAGTGTATAATTAAAGTATATAAAGACAATTGAGAGAGCATTAACTTATAAAATACTTTTGTTTTGAAATATATAATGAGAAGAATGGCATTTTCCATCGTTTTATCAGTAATTTTAAATTAAGTTCTGCCGACCGGCATGTGTGGGGGACAGAGAACTGTCCTTGCATCAGAAAGGTCCTGAGTTCGAATCCCGGGCAAGGCATGGATGTTTCTTTCTCTCTCTGTGTGTTCTATGTCCTTTCCTCTTTGTGTGTGAATGTGATCCGCTCTATAAACGGGTTGTTGCTGTGTGAATGGGTTGGCAGAAGTCGAATTCCTTGCCATAGATGGCGCCACTGTAAAACAGGAACAATCGCGCCCCCACTGCCTAAAACAGGCATACGACAAAAAAAAAATTAAATTGTATATCTAACAGTTGAATTCACAGTTCTGGAGCTGAATCTAATCTTGGTATGAATTTGTTTTTGGTGTATAAATACAAGCTGAAAATAAATGAAATGAGCCGAATTATGGTTTTCGTTGAAATGAAAATTAAGCCAAGCTACAAACGTTGAAAATGGTTAGTAGGGAGGCATTTCTTTATCCAATAATCCAGTTATTTCATTTTGGTTTGAAAAACGCGAAGGGGAAGTAATAATGCAATATTTTATAAAGGCATATCCTTTTCCTAATTCATTTAATAAATTATTTAAATTTTTTTCTTAAAATTTTTTTTTTTGCATTTTTCTTTAAATAACATTATAAAAGCAACCCAAAATATTAAGTAAATAATGGATTATTGATTAAATCCAAAGATAAGTACAGGTTTTTTTTTTCTTTCAAAAAAAAGTAATAACTCTCGGAATCCGCTTACCTCCTTCACAGAACCTAATTTTTCCGAGATGCTTAAAAAATGTTTTCTCTTTTCCCTTCATGTTTAGAATTTTATTATTTGTCATTCTATAATATTTCCCTGGGTTATTTTTTCTTTTCATTTTTTCTTACTTGCGTTTGTAAACATTAATCGCTGATTTTAAGAGTAAACTCAGAGCATTTATATCTAAGCTTAATTTACGGTAAAATATTGTCAGAAAAATTTCATAATAATAATTTATTACTGAATAAATATTTTCGGTCGGAATAGCTAATTATATTTTTGCCCTACTTGAAACTGTTTTTTTTTTTTTTTTTTTTTTTTTTTTTTTTTTTTTTTTTTTTTCAAATGACGTTTTATGCTAATTTTAAGCTTTTTCGTCTCCGTATCAAAGGATAAATTCATTTTGAGTCATACGTCCAAATGTCAGCGAAATTTGAAAGATTTTCTGTTAAAGAAAAAAAAGAAAAAAAGAAAAAGCTCTAAATTTAAAGTTTCTCTTAATAGCCAATGAAAAGAGACGTTTATCATATATGAATGACCCTGTAAAAAATTTAGATCTTATATTTGTTGATATTTTCATGTAAACGTCAGCACTCAAATATTTTTGAATATAGTTTTTGGTGTATGTTTGAATGTAGATATTAAAAATTAGTATTTTGCATTGACGTTGAGATTAATGAATAAAATTTAAAAAAGTACTGTTTTAAGCAAAGTTAACCATCAATGCTTGTTAAATGTTAATTTTGCCGATGTGAGAATTAATTATAGTTAGCAATCTTAGAAATAATATTTTAT